TTTTAAAAAAGATAATTAACATCATGTTGGATACCCCACAAGTTAACTAATCAAAGTTGCTAGAATAGAGTTTAGGCATGAAATTATTGGCTAACTGACTTATCAAAAAAAATTCTTGATGATGATACTGACATCAAAAGTCAAAAAAACTGCATATTGAAGCTACTTCAAAGTATATCCAAAGAGTATAAAAAGATGTTTTGGCCAATGGCTTGAAAGGATGCAAATTTGTATAGATAAGAATGGAAATTATTTTGAACATTAAGTAATATAAAATTAAAAAAAAAACTCTTTTTTTTTATAGGGGAGTTCTACGCACTTTACTAATGACCTAAGTAATACAAATACAATGTACAAATTTTTATTTTTATTTTGATTCACACCTAACATGTTTGATTCACCTTCAATAAGAAGAGGCTCTGCAACCACTATTAAGTTGGGAGTTACTAGAAAAAAATAATAGAGTTATATAGTAAGGAAATGGTTGACAAAAGACTTAAAAAGTTGAATGTTGTATGATTCAGGAAAATATGATGGGAGAGAGTTCCAAAGGGTTGAGGTGCAGGGAAAAAGACTAGACAAATAAAAGTTTTTAGAGCATCTAGGGAATAGAATGAGACTTTGCTAAATGACAAGTCAAGGGAGAATGAGTATTAGTTAATGGAACTGAAGATAATAGCTCCTTTGAAAAGCAACCATGATAGTATTTGTAGAAAAAAGAAAGCGATGCAACTTTACGATGGAAAAGAGGCTCAAGTTTGACAGACGGAGCACCTTTGTGGCGTTATTAAAGATTTTTGGAAAGATAAGGACAGAAGATAGTTGAAACTTTGAGGCAAATAGTTGCAGAGATGCAGCATCCTTTCAATTTTTTGCATAAATTTTAAAATTTTTTTTCTACATTAGCAAATTGTTGGTTGGTGTTAACAAGTGCTTTAAAAGGATTAAATTAATTTATGATACAAGTATAATACCATTAAATACCATTAAAATCTTAATACAATTAAAAATCTTTTTGATACAAGGTGGTCTTGTTGGTAAGATGCTTGTGAAGCTTTGTATAAAAAATGCGAGGGAATATATAAAGCATTAAAAAAATATATCAGAAGACTTCATGACAAATTATTAAAAATCATCTCAATGTAGAAGCCAAGCATTAATAATCAATTGAGTTGTCTTGAAATGCTTTTATGAGCATTTTGGAAATTTACAACTTTAAATCATTAGCATTAAATGCTTTAATGCTAATGATTTAAAGTTGTTGTTTTTTTTTCTAATTGATTTTTTAGTTGTTGTTGAGTAATACAGATCATTAATTGAATTCGTAAAAAAATGCCAAATTTATAAGTATACTGTGTATCTATAAAACATATCATTAGTTAAAGAATTTGAAAAAAGAAAGAGGAAAAAAAAAAGCATTTCATGATAAAACTAATGAATTGGAATCAAATACTAATCAGAATTTTAAATCCAAAATATTTAATATTATAATTGTATCTCTTAGCGGTGAGCTAAAAAAAAAGGCTTGAAGCATATCAATTTATTCACAAAAACTATTTAAACTATATTTAACTATTGTGTGCTAATAAAATTTTGAAAAATGCAGTAAATTAAATAAATTAAAAAAAAAAACGCATTGTAAACATAATTGGACCTGCTCTTGCAGCCAACTTTCAACCATTATCACATTGTCATAATGTTGCTTCTCTTTCTCTTTTCTACAAATACTATAATGGGCACTGCTCTAAAGAGCTAGCATCTCTTGTGCCATCTACTAAAATTCATTCTCGTTTTACTCGTCATTCAAAGTCTCATCCTTTTTCTGTGCTGTTCCTAAGTGCTCCAGAAACTCTTATTCATCTAGTTTTTTCCCTTGAACATCAGTTCTTTGGAATTTGCTTTCTTCATCTTGCTTTCCTGATTCATATAATTTGCAATCTTTTAAGTTGTCTGTCAATCGTTATCTTGCTCTACAATCTTCATCTTTTTCTCTTCCAGTAACTTTCAACTCTAATTAGTGGTTGCTTGCAGCCTTGTTGGAAGCGAAGATGTTTAAAAAAAAAAAAGAAATTAAAACTACTGCATTTTCCAAAAATGAACAAGTAAATGCTAGCGCTGAAAGGCATTTTTTTTTATCTACTATTAGAATTGAAGCAATTTCCTTTTTTTCAATACCTTTTTTGGAGTTTAAAAAAGACTATTCTTCGTTACAATTTTTAACAGCAGCAGAGAAAAATATCCTTAGAACAACATTGACGTTTGAGACTGGATTCAAGTTTCTTTGATTAAACAACCAGAAGTAAATTGAGATGATTTGTTTTTTTGGATTCACTAGTATTAGTTTCAACTGAATTGGGAACAAAATTCTTGAAATGCAGTTTTTTATTCAGAATATAAATGTCTGCATTGTTTATTTAAATTTAAAAAAGTTCTTTAGCGCACGCTGTGATCACAACAGAATCCATATCTAAAAGACAGACAAAGAATCCAAAACAAGAGAAGCATAAAGTTGTTTTCACCTCTCAATCTCAGTTACAAGTTGATCCATGGTGACCTGAAATTATTATCTCAGAAACCATTTTTCCTTTCCTAATAAAGTCTGACACCTCAATAGATGTCAGTTCGTCATGTTTCGGTTTATGGACTCAACAAGTGACACAGCAGTGACAGATATAGGGGGATAGGGTATGTCCATTCTGGATTCGCACATAGTTTCATCTCAGGCGTGTACAATGCAACAAATTTTCTTTCGCCAAAATAGGTTAAAAAAAAAATTTAACTTTTATAAAAAAAATTATTAAAAAATTCTTTGTTTTGTCTCAAATAGACAAAACAAAAAATTAAAATGAAAGAAACATAATAAAATAAATAATTAAATAAATAGTTAAATAATAAAATGAAAGAAACATATTCTAAGCAATATTACAGTGTAATATATCCAAATGAATAAATACAAATCCAAAAAGTTTTTAATGCAATTTTGTTCAACTTGTTTTAAATTTACAAACATTTTAAATTTATAAATTCAAAAGGTTTATAAATGTTAAATAAGTAAAGAAAAACTATATCAAAAGCCTTTTTTATTTGTATTCATATAATTTTGGATACATTACACTTTTGTGTAAATATATTAATTTTTGTGTATATATATATATTTATTTTTGTGCATATATCGGGTGAACACAGAAAAATCCTGTCAACTTTAAATTGAGATTTCTCTAAAAACACAAATGCTTTTTATTTCTTTAATTTTTTTAATTGAACTTTACTTCCTTATAATTACTATATTTATTTGTGTTGATAAACTTTTGTTTACAAATTAATCATTTGCAAAATGTTTTGGAAACAAATTAAAGTGCGTAAAAAAAAAGTGAATTTTTTTTGCAAAAATCCATCGACTACATATTGTTTGATTGCTAAACGTACAAAAGTCCCAAAATTTACAGTCATAGATATTATAAATAAGTTCAAGGCAGAAAGAAAACTTTCCATAAATCCAAAAAGGTCGATTATACGTTCAATAGCAAGAAATCCAAACAAGTCACAGCGAGATCTAGCAAGAAACTTCAAGATTTCACGTTCATATATCAAAAAAGTACTTAAAATGTACTTAGGTGTGTTTTTCTTTTAAAATGCTTGAATTAAAACATTTTTTTAAGAAAAATACACCTAAGAGAAGCCTAAATGGTAAAATTAAATGTATTCGACACGCAAAGAAGTTGATTAAATTAATGGCTGATAAAAGTATGTGCATAATTGAAGTCGGCAAAACTTTTGACACTTTTATTTTAAGGGACTTAGTGGTAAGACTAAATTTGTCTTTTTCTTGCCCCAGCCATGTATTTATATATTTGTATTTGCTTAATCTCGTAAACTTTTTTTATCGTCGAAATACATTAAACCCAAAAAGTATAACGGATAAAAAAATTGTGAAAAGTGAACTTTTTTCTAATTCAATCGATGGGTAAATATTCAAAGTTAAATCACGAAAGTGATTTAACTTTGAATATTGATTATACTGGTATCATTGATAACTTTGCTGACAAAAAATTACAGAGAAAACTTTTAATAAATTTACGAAAACAACTTATAATTAGTTTTTACTGTAGATATATTTTGTTTTAACTTTTGTTTTGAATTATAAATATTATTTTTGAATCATATCCTTAAAGGTGCTGTAGACACAAAGGTGGCACTGTGACAACATACTTAAAGGCAAAAACTGTCTTTGTTGCTGTGTGATTCTCCAGACCTGAATCCAATGGATAAGCTTTTAATGTGGAAAATTGATCAGGATAATTTAACCAAGGATGTGTTGATTTGGAGTACTCTAATATCCAGATATTTTTTTAACTATGGTCTAAACCTGCAGATAAACGTTTTTAATGTAGAGTCAAATTCAAAGATAAATTACGAAAATGCTTACTAAGATAATCAAAAACAAAATTTTTAAATAGTGCAGCATTATTAACATGACTATATTAACAAGGTTGCAAATTTAGGTCTGCAGAATATTGATTTGAGATTAAATATTCTTCTTAGAAAAGTTGTAGAGTGGAATTATTTGTTTAATAAGTAGTTATTATATATATATATATATATATATATATATATATATATATATATATATATATATATATATATATATATATATATATATATATATATATATAAATAGATAGATAGATAGATAGAAAGTATATATGCATATATAATAAATGTAAACAGCCCTCGGAATTAGGAACATTTAGGTTGGCAATACCTTGCCGATTTTAATTTGTTAGAGGTCGGCAAAAAAAAATTGATACAATGGTTTCACCATAAAACATAGAAGCAAGATCAGCAATTTTTTGCCAAACTTACACATATAGATTCGCAGTTTGGTTGGCATTGCTAAATGTCCGCCCTAATTCCTAGGGCTGCATAAACCTTTTATTGAAAAGTAAGAGTTGTCAAATTTTATATGTTTGAAATAATTAAGTTTTTTTTTTTTTACTTAGAACAAATGTAAGAAAATTGTTGGACTGTGTATAGAGCCTCTGCGATGTTCTTGGGTTTTTTGTGTTTGTGAAGATTCTTCATTGTACTTAATTCCATCATTGGAGGTGATTTATTCAAGTTACATAAATGCATTGCAAATTTTAGTGAACTTTTTTATTAATTATTACATAAATTTTAGGATCAAGCAAAATTCTTAAAAATTTCTTCTCCATTTTCATATGTGAAAACCTTGAAAGGTATGATAATATTTGTTTTGTGTTGATTTTTATGTCATTGCATATCAATTTTTGTGGATTTTGATTGGGTAAAAAACAGATTTTTTTTTATACGAAACTGCTTAGATTTTTTTAAATACATGTTATTTTTAAATACATGTTATTTTTAAATACAAAATACTATATAAAATATAATAAATATAGTTTTATAGAGATTATATACAAACATATGTAACAATATTATACACTTTTACAAACGAAAAGATTTTTAAAAAAGCTAAGAATTCTAAAATCTTGTTGCGTATATGTCATGATTGAGATTTTTATAATAACTTGTGTTATTTTAGTTTTACATTTCAAATTTTTTTACAATTAAGTTGAGTTGGTGCAAATGAGTATGCAACATGTTTATATATAGAACATAAAATATATAGAATTATGAAGTTGTTTTGATTTGCTTTTTAAACAACAAAAATTAAAAAAGCAAGCTGATGGTTTGAACTGTGATGACCTTAAATTTTTTTAAACAGTAAGGGGGTTCAAAAAGTTTTTTTTTAATAAGAACATAATTTAAAATTCTTATTTTATATTTAAATTTAACCATTTTGTTAAATTTTTAAAAATAATTAAAATTATTTAATATTGATATAATAGGGAAACTTAGAATATTACAGCCAATTTAACACTCCCCCGATAAACATTCTAAATCGAGTGTACAATGATAGAATTTAGATAACCATCAAAATAGTATTTACTCCATTATTTTTTTGCTTAATTTTTAGATTAGGGATTGTCCATAAATTATGCAACACTAAGTTTCACTAATGAATAAACCAAAAAAGAATTCTCTCGCATTCCTTTCAAAGTTTTTTCTCGCAAAGTCGTAAGTTAAATAAAAAATCAAAATAGCTCATATAGTTTAATGAAAATCACCACCTAAAAGAAGCTAAGATCTCCTTTTTTTAAAAAAAAAAATAAATTTAGCGTTGCGTAATTTAGGGATGATCCCTCAGCGTTTTATAGTCTATAGTTTTTAATGGTCTAAGATCTTCTTAGTTTGGCCATTTGTATAGGATTGCGTACAAATGTCTGTAAGTGTAAACCTCTTTAGCATATGTTGAGTTTGCAGGCAGTATATCGAAGAATTGTGTATAATAATCAATAAAAATGAGAAAATTTTTGAATTTTATTTTAACAATTAGAATACTTTTTAGCTATACAATTATTTTTTTGCTATAATTATTGCTATGATTATTATAAATATATACTTTAATAAAAATTTTGGTATAAATATTGCTATAAATACAGAAAGATCAAAAATATTTAAAATTTTTTAGGGGCTGGTCTTTAATCCTCCAAATCAACACTAGTGACAGTGCACTAAGCCACTGAGCTATCACTGATATTAGGGGGGGGGGGGGGGTCCAAAATTCTATATTTCTTGTTTAATCAGTTATTCTTAATTTTTTGAGAAAAGTTCAAAAACAATTCAGTTTTTGCTAATTTTTTATGGTTTACTACTTCTACTTCTATTTTAAAAATTTAAAGATATAAAAAATAAAAGTCTTTGCAAAAGTTTTTTTGCGTATAAAGTTACGCAACTTTTCTTTCAAATTTATGCAATTCAAATTTTGATTGGATAAATTTGATTTTTAATCGTTGCGTTTTAGAAAAAAAAAAGTTTTATCTGAAGTCTTTTTCTAAAAAAACGTTTTAAATAAGTAAAACGACAGATTGCTTCAAAAAAAAAGATTTATCTGGAGTCTCTTTCTAAACAAAACGTTTTAAATAATCAAAAAGACAGATTGCTTCAAAATATCTTAATTTCTTTTTTTTTAGTTATTTTTAATCGTTATTCAAGCTATCAAGAAGGCTATTCAAGATTTCATTTTTTATTTCACTTTTCTTTAATGAAGTCAAGAATAAATCTTCTTTTAAAGTGCCAGTCAGTAGAAGTTCAGTTAAATTCTAAAGTTTTAACAATTCTAAAGATAAATAGGCTAAAGGAACATCGCTACCTAAAAGGCTTTATAAAAAACAAACTGGGTGATCAAATTTTAAAATTTTCTGCTTTAATCTAAAATGCAGTGAATAGCTAGTTAAATAAAATTCTAGAAGCAGTTAATAAATATAACTCAAAGAGGTTGAATGATTGAATCATTCTTGCTAGAGTATTTTGGCAAAAGTTAGCCTCAGGACTTCAAAAAAGAGAAAAGTATTATGTGTTTGGTTAACGATGCAATATGATTAGTATTAACTTTCTAATTAAGTTGTTGCAGTTGGAAAGCTTTGGAAAAAATCCATTTAATTTCAAGAGTAGATGTTTACTTAATTATTTAAACCATATAAAAAATAAAGGTTCGCGCAGTTTGAAAATATTTTGGAGAATTATTGTCCAGTTACTTGTCCAAAAAGTTGAAACTATGGAATATAGTTGAAACTAGCTACAAAAACAAATGGATAACAATGGAAGAGCAGCAAACTTTACATCAGGTGTGCAAGATGGTTCTATTTTAGCTTGATTAAAGTTACAAGGCAGCCCATTTAGCTGTGAACTAGACATTATTGAAATAGATAAAGATATGTTAAAATGAAAAAAAAGTTCGAAAAATGAGGTTCTTTATTTTAGGGATACAATGTAGGTCATTGTCGCGAAGGTCTATTCTGTTTAAATACATGATTGTTGATATAAAAATACAAACCTCCATCTTATGTCTACCGAAGAACACGCATATAACTTAGATGTTCTATAAGGAAAGTTCACGCAGCAATCTCTATCACATATGACTTTTATAGTTATTTTCCATTTTAAATAGTAAATAACAAACTGTATGAATTATTTTCATATATGATGCTTAATTTTTTTTGCTACTTATAAATGATAAGGTATATTCTTGGTAAATTAAACAGAAAAAGATTTCTAGTTTTCTACTTTTCTTATATTTAATGATAATAATATATTTTTAACAATTTTTAATAAATATCTATTTTTAACAATGCCTTTTTTTGTCAATATATTCACTTTTATTAAAATTGAAGTAGAAGGCTGAATAATTAAAATGAAAAAAAATGATTATGAGTTTCAGAATCAGCATGAAAAACTAATTAAGAAAAATTGGTTAAACTATAAAAAATCTAAAAAAAGACGATTTCCATAATCGTCTTTTTTTAGATTTTTTATATTCTACTGATATGCATTTAAGAGACCCTACTAACCCCCCTACTGATATGCGTTTAAGAGAAAAACAAACTTAATTATAAATCTCTTATAAGCTCTAGATATGCGCATGTTATATTTTTTGCTCTTAAAGCAATTTTGCAAAATGAACTATTTTATGGAAAAATAATGAAGTAAACAAATAATAGGTATAAAAATAATCAATGTGGAATAGATAAGTATAGAAATGGTGGGTTTGGTAAAAACCCGTATTTTTTGGGTCCAGAAAGCTAGAATAAGGAAAAAGTATAGAAAAGGTAAATGTGGAATAAACTTACAAAGACCCGTATTTTTACGGGTCAGATCAGCTAGTATATTAATATTCTTTAATAGTACAAAATTTTATGAAAAGATTAATAGTTTAAAAATTTAGGTGAACCTTCATGTATTGTTTGGTGGCGCACATTAAGTGATCAGAATATTGGTATTGTAGGAACTCAGGTTATTATTAAAAGTTCTAATAAGTAAAACATTGTTTTAATATGTAAAAAGTTGTTGTAATGTGTTAAAAGTTGGTTCTAATTAGTAAAATGTGGTTTTACTGTGTAAAAAGTTGTTGTAATGTGTTGTAGTATTGTGTAAAAAGTTGTAATTTAAAATTTGTTCTAATATCTTTTTTTAATATGTAAAAAGTTGTTGTAAAAAAAAATGTAGTTATATATAAAAAATTAAAATAATTAAAAATTAATATGTAAAAGATTGTGTAATGTGTAATTATAAACATATTACAAGTTGTTATTATATTTAAAAAGTTGATGTAACATTTAAAATTTAAAAAAATAAAAACTATAAATAATATTTTAGGTTGGGGAGCTTGTGTTTGTTGATATTTTATTGCATAAAGAATTATATAGAATCTGCATTAAAGAGAGAATTGTTGATCTTAAAATTATGCAAGTTATTAAAGAAAAGAAATCATATTTATTAGTAAGCATATTTATATTATATAAAAAGAAAATAAATTTATTAGTAAAATTTTTATTTAAAACTATGCAAGTTTTTAAATAAAAGAAAACATTTTTTAGCAAGATTTTTTTTTACAATTTTGTTCAATAAATAAACTTTCAATTAAACAAGTGTACACAACTTAATTTTGTTCAATAAATAAACCTTCAATTAAACAAATGTACACAACATAATTATACTACGACTTCTTTGTGTAGTAAATTGAAAACTTAAAAAATTCTACCTTAAGGCTATATCACCTATCCTACCCCTTTAAGGTAGAAAATTATACCTTCAAGGTAAAAAATTATACCTTTAAGAAAGAAAATTATACCTTTAAGATAAAAAAAGTATAAAATAATTTTTTCAAGTATAAAATAATTTTTTTATTTCTTCTTTAGTAATAAGCTTTACAATAGGTTAGTTTACAAATCTTTTGTTGTTATCATTTTTGTTGTTATTATTTATTGTTATGATTTTTAATGATATTTTATTTAAGATTTACACTTTCAAGAAATTAACTCACCGACTTTTGTTAGAGAATCCTTCTTCAAAGTTTTTATCCAGATCATCTTCTAGTTTATCACAAGCATGTGATCTTGGTTATGATACTGTAGTAGAATGCAATATAGAGTCAATTATAGATGATGAAAGAGATAATAAAGAGGAATTTAATAAACAAAGTCGCTTTGAAGTAACACTTTTGTTTGTTTGTATGAAGTTTTTAATTACTTTTTGCCAACTATATATTTTGCCATATATATATTTACAATACCAATACAAAATGTAATTATCTGTGTACAAACCATTAATTTAATCACAAAAATACCACAAAATCTATTATAAGAATAACAAGTCATACTAAAAAACAAATAGGAAGTGACGAAAGAATAGGTTAATAAAAAATTACATAGAAAGTAATAACTAAACAGAAAGTGTCATTTGGACATGGTTGACCTGTTTGTTCATACCAGGTTTTAACCATTCTATGAACATGCTTTCTTTAAGTTTTAATTTGAACTTATTAGATGCTGAACCTAAAACGGAAAAACACTTTTCATATGATTGCAACAGTATGTGCAGGATGTAACAGGAGTTACATCCTGCAAATTTGTAGAGGAATAGGATCTTTAGAGGAGAAAATTTTTGAAACTTTTAGTGAGACAAAAACTAGTTTAAAATTTACAGAACAGCAATATTTTTTAACAATTGAATTTAATCTTTTTTAGTTAAATCAGATATTTTTCCTAAAAACGGTACTTTAAAGTAAGACAAAGGTTCTTTGATTTTTTGATTGTTTGTGTTAATTTTGTTTATATAAGATTTATATATTTTCGATATTAGCCAAAATGGATACATGTTTCTTTGAAATGCTTTGAAAAGGTTATTTATGTCGGAGTTAAACCCTTGATTAGTACTATTGATTTTAAATATCCTATTGATTAAGCATTTGATAAGACTAACTCTGTACAAAAGCGGAGTGAAACTATAAAAATTGGTGTGTAGACCAGAGTAGGTTTTTTTATGAAAAACTGTAGTAGTCCAACTGTAGTTCTTGTTCCATGGTGAAAGAAATAGAATTGTGTCTACTATTTATGTAATTAAGAAAAATAATATATATATATATATCAGGCTTGGTTGGAAAGCGGGAGTGATCACTCTCGATTGCTGACCATGGAAATAATATTTAGTTGCGAAAAGCTGGCCAGATTTTTTAATCCTTTTGAGAACATTTCAAAAAGCAAAAAAAAAATGCGCAAAAGATTATTTGGACCAATGAGAAACAAATAACAACAACAAAAAAATTAGGTAAATAAAATATCTTTTAATGCGAAAAAACTTTAAGCAAAATAAATTACGTTTAGAACAAATATTTTCAAAACATCGCTCTTTTATAATTTTTTTAAAAAATTAAGCGACATTTTTTATATAAAGTAACATCTTACAATTGTTTAAAAAGGAAACAAATGTTCTTTATTTAACAAAGTTTGCAAGTTTTAGTTTTGTCTAAGCTAAATTATTTTATAAATAAAAAAGTTAATTTTTTTAATACCTATTTTATGTTTTGCGTAGTTTGAAAAGTTTAACATATTTGAAACAATTCTTCTTAGTAAGATAAACAAATGAAATAATTAAATCATTGAATTAATATAGAAATTAAGTTAACAAGATAGAAATCAACTAAAAAGGTTAAAAATATTTCATGACGAGGAAGCGAAACTGCTTCACAATATTGCTGATGATGTTTAGTGAGTGGGATTTTCAATTTTAATTAGTATTTAAAACAGAAAAAAGTATAACGAGTTTTTAAGAATTACAACTCAAGCAAAAAAATTAGAGTTAGTAAACCAATATCTAGAAACTTTTCTTTATATCTAATAACTTGCTATATATATTTGTGTTTTGTTGTAACCTCAGGCGCGGTGCTTGTTCATCCGCGAATTTTACTCATAGAATTTTATTTGTGCTTTTGATAGTGGCTATGCAATTCTTTCTTTTATCTCCTAATCAAGGTTTAGCTTAAAAAATCAGTTTAATGGTTATGAGGCCGACTGATAGTAAGGTTTCCCAAACTCTGTAGTTGCTCTCAGAGAAGAGCAACTACAGAGTTTGGGAACTCAAGTTGAGTTTGACTCAACAGCTGTAAAATATCTGAGTATCAACAGTGCCATGTTGCTGCATAGATGGTGTCCCTGTTATTGCTTTTGGTGTGCATTGTTTTTTAAAAATAAATTAAGCGTTGCATATTTTAGGGATGATTCATCAGCGTTTTATAGTCTATAGTTTTTAATGGTCTAAGATCTTCTTAGTTCGGCCATTTGTATAGCGTTGCGTACAAACGTCTGTAAGTGTAAACCTCTTTAGCATATGTTGAGTTTGCAGGTAGTATATGGAAGAATTGTGTATAATAATCAATAAAAATCTCATTTTTATTGATTATTATACACAATAAAGTTAAACTTCTGAATTTTACTTTAACAATTAGAAAACTTTTTTGCTATACAATTATTTTTTTTGCTATAAATATTGCTATGATTATTATAGATATACTTTAATAAAAATTTTGGTAAAAATATTGCTATAAATACAGAAAGATTAAAAATATTCAAAATTTATTAGGGGGAGGACTTTAATCTCCCAAAACGACACTGGTGACAGTGCACTAAACCACTGAGCTATCACTGATATGCGTTTAAGAGAAAAACAAACCTAATTATAAATCTCTTATAAGCTTTAGATATGCGCGTGTTATATTTTTTGCTATTAAAGCAATTTTGCAAAATGAACTATTTTACATTAAAAAAATGAAATTTAAAGGCCACATAAAGAGCCTTAAGTTCTGCTAATTAGCTTTTGGGCTAATTAGCGGAACTGAGACAACTGCATAGCTTGTTGCTTAGGATGTCATGCTCTATCTATAAATGAGTCAAGTTCTCTTCAAACTTAAACCATGCCCAAAGTAACCAAAAATATTAAACATAAAAAACTTTCCCCACCACCTAACTGTTTTAATATATTGTTCAAAAATATTTATGGTCTTCGAAGTAGCTTTCCATCAGTTAGATCTTACCTCTTGCAAAATTGTGAGACTAATTTAAATTCAGCTGTTCTTTCTTCAGATCTCAGTATTGATGGGCACTATTCTTTAATTTGCAAAGACTCGAGTAGTCACCTGGCTGGGTGGTATACTTATGCATCAATTCACCTATTTTTTGAGAAGTCCGGTTTGATTCCTCTAACCATTCTTTTATGTGCTTCCACTTAGCACCTCTTTACTCTATCATCTTTCTTTTTGTTCTTTATTGTTTTTTATTATCTCATATATAAGCTTTAGATGTAATTTCTGATCAAATTGACCATGCCCTTTCTCTTTACCCCTATGCTTGTATTGTTTTTATTGGTGACTTTAATGCTCATCACATAGAATGGCTTAGAATGGCTCTAATACATAGAATGGCCATAGAATGGCTCTAATGCCACTGACCCTTACTGGCACTAAAGTTCATAACTTCCATATATTCAATATCTTACTCAGTTAACTTTGTGACTGGTTTTCCACACAACCCTAATCACTTAGCTTCACTACTTGATTTGTGTCTCTAACCTTAGCTTGTGTTTAGTTTTTCCTTGTTCTTTTTGAGTTGGGTCAGATTATGCAACAATTTATATAAATCTTTCATCTCATACTTTGTATTCAGACCCACCCTGTAATCACACTAGTTTTAATGTTTTTTATTCGTTTAGTAGACAAAATGTCGGTTTTTTTTAACAACATTGGTTTATTTTCTCGACAAACGTCAAGAAAATAAACTAATGTTTTTACATTTTAAAAAACGAAACATTCCAAAACGTTTTAAGATAATAACATTTCTACATTAATGATATAAAGTAGTTTTGCGGTAATTAAGTAAATTAATGCAGTTAATGTTGATAAATATGAAAAGCAAATAAAAAGAATTTACTGACGTCAAAAATCATGTCGTGCTTATTCGTCGCGCAGTTTTTATTCATCACAAGGCCTGCTAAGGTAGGTCTAACATACCATCTTTGGACCGCAAACGGTAAACTCTTTTACCACTTGTGGTCCAAATAACAATCCTGTCATAGTCTTACAGAAGTATTCTTCAGAACTCTCTCTAAACTATTTAATAAGTGCTGGATTCTTGCCTTCCTGCCTTGCTTTTCCTTGAATGGAAAATGACATCTGTGATTCCAATTTTTAAAAATTCTGGAGAACATTTTGACTGTTGAAACTGCCTTCTCTCTATTATTAGCAAGGTCTTTGAGTCTTTGATCAAAAAATTTTTAACATCCCATTTTGAGTCATTAACTTAAACACTCATCTTTATTTTCAGTAACTTCAAGGGTACACAATGGTTCTATCGTTGGTCCTGTTTTATTTTTTTATCTTTATTAATGATTTTTCTGGCAACCTTACACCAAAAGTGGCTGTATTTGCTGATGACTCAACTTTATAATCCTGTCTGGACAAAAAGTCTTCTCTTTTTGATTGCTTAGAACAGGCAGCTGATCTTGAATCTGATCTTGCAGTAGCTTGTGAATTTTTACTCTAACAAAACTCAGTTATTTACAAAAAGCAGCTATTGCAATTTATTACTGACCTCTCATAGAAACTATACATACAATTAGTTGCAAAGTTAGCAACTGTTATGGTTGCTTCTCTTTATCCTGCTTACTATTATCATACTCCTGATTCCATTCACTACCTCTACAAGTCTCTTATTTGTCCCTGTATAGAATACTGTTGTCATTTATGAGCTGGTTATTCTAGTCATGGTCTTTCTCTTTTAGATAATGTTTTGAAAAGGCGTTTTAAGTATTTAGATGTGCTTTATCTGCCATGCTTGAGCTGCTCTCCGATTGCCATAAAGTTGCACCTCTTTTTTTTGTTAGCCTTTTTTTCTTATTTTTCTAAAGAGACTATGTTTTGTTAGGTCATGACATAACATAGGTGTGTTTTAGAGTTTAAGAGACAAGTGAAAAATGTTAACTCATGTGGTTTTTTAGCATCGAGTGAAAAATGTTTTAGAATTGAGTGAAAAATTTCTAACGTGGTCTTTTAGTTTTAGAATAATTGAGTTAGAAATGAAAAATTAACATTTTAAATGTATATAACTTAATCAACATGTTTTTAATTTGTCAATATCATATAAAATAGATTTTGCAATATGTTGATTTTAAATTTTTAATTTTTATGCAAATTATTTTATTCTAGCTACTTCCTCAAGACTTCTTTTATTCTTTGCATGAAATTGGAAATCAAGTGTTTATCTCCAAGCAAGATCCAAAAAATAATATTTTAGAAATTTATAGAGAGTTTAATCAAGTACCACAACATATTTGCTATCTTCCGAAAAACACAGCAACATTCTCATTCACTAATAATCTTATTTTAACACTGTCGAACACCATTGAAAATAAGGTGATTTTTTTCTTTTAATTTATATTAATCAACTGTTTAAAAAATCTTTTTTTATCAACAATATTTTATTATACAGTTATTTTAACTTTAGTTTTTTATCAACAATATTTTATTATACAGTTATTTTAACTTTAGTTTTTTATCAACAATATTTTATTATATAGTTATTTTAACTTTACTTTTTTTTAGCAATTTTGTAGACATTTTACAGATCTATAAATCTTTTTCATAAATTCAATTTATAATATTTATTATTTGCATTGTTAATTTAATAAATTTGTTGTAATAGCAAGTTTTAATTAATAAATTATAATTATGATAATATTAAAGTTAAAATAAATAGTTTAACTATTTAAAATAAATAGTATAGTCAAAAAGTTATATCAAAAAAAAAAAAAAATTTTATTATGATTTTTTTTGTGTGAAAAAAAAAAAACATTTTCTTAAACTTTTTAGTTATGTGTAATATGAATATAAGCTTTACAATAAGTGTCTCTTGCAATAACTCTTACATGGCTACATAATCAAAGATAAAATGTAATACATTGAACCTAGACATCTGGCTGAATAATTTAATAAACAAAACTAGGATCTCAAAAAAAGAACAAAACAGTGTCAGGCATGACACAGCTGTTTGTGAAGAAGGTAAAATCTATGAAGTTTTTGGCTTAACTAGATAAATGATGTCAAAGTATAATAAATTAGTCATTGGGTTCAAATAGCACTGAAACCATTTGAGATGATACTTGTCGAATCTAAAGCAAGTTTCTACGAATTACTCTCATAAGTTTCTTAAAATGCTTCTCAAAAGAACATCTTAACTGATTTGCTAAACTTAAGTGCATCAGTAGGCACATTATATTCTAATAGAACTGTTTCAAATTCGAATCAAGTACCTTAAGAAGTTGTTAAAGCGGATATTGTCTTTAAATAGATGTGAGAAACAATCTTCATAAATAAAAAAAAAACAAAACAAAAATGGGAATATGCATGGGAATAACAATAGTCTACAATTTAGTTGTTAGACTCACAGAATGTTTATTTTAGATGAAAATAGCAATTAATTTTAAAAGAGAAAGAGGTGTAATGCGTGAGAAAAGAAAAAAAGGTGCAATGTGGGAGGAGAGAGATATAGGTGCAATGTTACAATGAGTATGTTACAATGATGGGAGAGAAGTTCAAGTTTAACAGCTGGAATCTAACAACATTTACAATGTGTTTTTAGAGTGAAGGCCTCATTGATATAATATGACAACAGTGCTGCTGCATTAAAATTGTTGCAATGTTTGCATTAAAAGGCAAATAAGAGACTAGAGATATTGAGAGTGTAATCAGGAGTAAGAAAATGAAATGTTAACACTAACAAGGTTCATTTAAGTACTTCTGGAATTCTGCAACACACTTTGGTAATACTGTGATATGAATGTTGTCTGAACTATAAGTTGTAAAAGAGTTTAAGTGGGAAATAACTTTACCAACAGAACCAAATAGTTATAATAAGTGTGTTTCAAAGTGCTTTATACTTGTATGTATATACTTGAGTGTATATACTTGAGTGTATATACTTGAGTGTATATACTTGCATTTTACTAGAATTTTACATTCTGAGAGCCAGCAAGGTCAGCAATGCTAGTGCCATTCAGTGTGCAGAGCAGTTAAGTGATAAATAACAACAATATTGGCTGAATTATAAAGAGAAATTGTTTGTTCAATTTGATCAGTAGCAACATCTGAAGGATGCAAATCTAATAATTGCATTGAAAAGCAGGTCCCACAAGACAGCAGGACAGATTGTACCAGATTGCATGTTACCAGTAGCAGGATGATTGTAATGATCTGAATTCTGATCTGATTTAACTTATCTATTATTTTTGAACTTGAAATCCTTTATTCAAAAGTTCCCCAAAACATTGTAAGTACCTAGCTTCAAAATTGGTTAACTTTTTGGTCCTACATTTTGTCTCAAATGAAATCGCTAAGTATCTTATGAATTAATGCAACTACTACAAAGATTTGAACTTATTGAACTTATTTGTTACATATACTTTAAAATAAAATAAAGAAATTTTAAAAACAATATTCCTATCAAAATGTTATAGTAAATCAATGATAATCTTATTATGTTTAATATTTAGCATAAGCATTTAAAAATTTGTAATTTTAAGTTATTTGTTTTTTAAGCTTGTATTTTAAAATTATTTAGTTAATGAAAAGATAGAAAATTGTTTTTAACTATTTATAGTAGAAAAAACAAAATTATTATGTGTGTGTAGTTTTGAAATTTGTACACAAAGATTTGTTTATAATTAAACTAATTTATATTATATATACTTTATATATATATAGTTTAAAAATTGTATTATAACTTTTATATAATACAATATTTATAATATACAATATAGCATTTATATTGTATATTATATTTTTATATTTGTGTTAAATTTAAAATTTATTATTAAGTAATGATGTTGCTTCTCAGTTGTTAATTTCTATAAACTTAAAACAAATTTTGTATTGAGTTATTGCAGGTTTAAAAATATATTTTTTATTAGGTTCGCATTCAACTTTTTTCTCATGAAATTTGTAATGGTATTTTTGGAAAACAAAACATCAAGGTAACATTTCAAGTTTCACATAATGTTTTTCTGTAGTAACCTCAGTCTAATTTTTTTAAAAATATTATAATAAAGTTTAAAAGTCAGCATGATGAATAATAAATGCAGTTTGCAATTAACCACCACTTTCCAAATTACTTTTTTAAATAACTATTTTAAAATAACAATTTTAAAAATATATACACTAAAAAATCATAACAATGTTAATATTTTTGAAAGCCTTAAAAAATAACAATGTTGAAATTTTTGAAAAAATATTTTTGTTTTTAATGCACTACTTTAGTTGGCTTTATTTTTTCTCCATAGTGGGCCACTACAGTTGATGAGGCTGCTATTTTTTTTTTATTTTCTTCAGAGGGGAGCCACTACAGTTGAAGAGGCTGCTCTTTTTTTTTAATTTTATTTGCAATTCTGTCAACACTAAACTCATAAACACAAGCATGGTTAAACAAGGCTGCTGTGTAGAAAAACAGAGTGCAGTACTTTAACAAACATTGACTAGATATAAGCCTCATGAAAAACTTTTTCTTCTTGTGAAGTAAGTATTATTAGTCTCCTGCATTCTACCACTAGTCTGCTTCCACCACTAGTCTGCATCCACCACTAGTCTGCTTCCATATTATTGACAAATACTGCATATAACACATTAAATGTGGTGAATAATACTTTTATAATAAAGTTTTTTTTATCATTATTTTCTGATGTTGTATTTAACTAGAAACATTTGTTCTTATTTGTTCTTTTCTTTGTTTTTGATTTTTTAATTTGCTTTGTATTTTGTATTTAATTTTTTTTCTTTAATCAGTTTTTTTTTCCCTTTAATTTTTACATTTTTTATAATCTATTCTATTTTTCAGAATAATTTCTTTTGGTTTTTTTTTCTTTTCTTTGTTCTGTTAAATAGAAGGTTTTGTCATTTGCGATGTTATTGAATGAATAATCTTTAAATAAATTTATTTTAAGATTTGCTGCTTGAGAAAAATTTTCAATAAAACAGGAAGAGAATTAAATAATGAGTAGTTACAAATCATTTGCATAGAATATTATAATTAATATTTTCAGTAAAATACAGTTGACAAAATTCTAAAAAAGTTTTAGAAACCTCTAAATTTATTTTGATGTTTTTAGTTTAATAAAAACTCTGCAAGCGAACGTTATTTTAGAATATTGACATTTGCAGTTAAACATTAGTTGTTTACTTTACTTGTGAGTTTTTGTTTAAAAAAGGGTTTTATTTAAAATTATTCTTATGAAATATGAGCTCATTAATTTTAAAGCATCAAGTATTTTTTATTTTAAAAGTTTGGTTAAATTTATTTGACTTAATTTTTTACACACGCACCTTTTAAAATTTATAGTAAAAAAGGTTACAAGATCATATGTCTACCGTATAAGATATCTGTTTACAATTGTGAATATCTGGTAGGGTTATACTTAAGAAAGACTTTTTAATTAATCTTACTATAACTTGTTATAATAAGATTAATTAAAACTTATTTTAACAGTTTCTGACAGAGGTGGCTTGGGATTATAGCTCTTCTCCCCCCCCCCCCCACACACTTTTTAAGTCTGTTAAATTATTATTTTAAAAGTTTTTATCTTGTTTTAAATCACAACTTAAAGCCGCTAGAGGTCAATTAGTATTTTGTTTTTGAAATACTTAACGTATTTGTTTTGAAATACGTTTTATAAGCTTCTAGGAAGTAATTAGCGTTTTGTAATTGAAATAATAACTTTATGTGTTTGCTTTGAATAATGTTTTACAATTCAAAAGGAAGCAATTAACGGTTGTGAATATTATATAAATCTATACATAAGCACATTTTATGTAATTCACAATTCCTAATCTTACAACTAGTTTTTCCTTACATCTACAAAGCGTCATGACGGACCCATCTCATATAAAACAACGAACACTGATTTCTTACTTTGTACATGACAAGTATTTTTCAAGTCCAACTTTACCAACGGAAGAAAATATTCAAGGAGGAAATGACATTGAAAAATCTTTTCCTGCTTGTTCCTGCTGTGAATGGAATGCAGAAAAAACAAATAAATCCTGCCAAAATTGAAGCAACCAAAAAAATGTATGGCAAACAACTTAGATTTTTCAATGAAAAATGGATAATAGATTACCCTTGGATTCATCTATATCATTCAAAAAAGAAAGTATTTTGCTATATTTGCATTGATGCTGTCAATAAAAATCTGGTATCTTTTTCAAAATGTGGTGAACAAAACTTTTTAACAATTAGTTATGACAATTGGAAAAAAGCTGTAGAAAGACTGAAAAAATACCACCTATCATCATTTCATTAGGAGGCACAGGAAATATTATTTACATTATGTGCTGCAGGTTTAAAAGCATACATCAAATGATAAGTGAAATGCATGATAAGCGATGCGGTTAGCATTACGAGTGCTTAATTTGTGTAATCTCTACATTAAAATGTGTTACTCAACAAGGTTTAGCTATTCGACAGAATAAAGAAATTGATGGCAATCTTAATCAGTTACTTTTAATAAGGAGTGAAGATTATTCACCTCTATCAAGCTGGCTGACAAACAATAAGTACATGCCTCATGATATTTTTAAAAAGATGATGGGAATTATGGCAAATTATGTGCTAAGAAATGTCCTTTTTCTCTACGGCAAATTATGTGCTAAGAAATGTCCTTTTTCTCTAATATGCGATGAAACTTAAGACATTTTCAGTATTGAACAATGTCTATATGTGTTCAATTGGTTTCTGAAAATTTTACAATATACAAAGATTTTTTTGGTCTCTATGCACTTGATACTACTGACAGTAAGTCGCTTTTTTATACAATATGTGATGTTTTATTAAGATGTGAACTAGACAAAAAAATGGTGCAGAGGCAAAGTTATGATAGTGCCGCTTCAATGTCAGGGCATCTAAGTGGTGTTGCTAAACTATTTCAAGATGATGTCAATGAAGCGATTTTATACATTGTTACTTCAAGATGCTTGTAAACAAGTAAATTGTATGCACCACTGATAGGAAGTGTGCCTGCTGATGTATAATTTCATTTGTTTAGCTCCAAAGAGACTGGTAAGGTTTAAAAAATTACAATGAGATATAATTGACAAGAATGTCAAAAAAATCCATTAAATTGCTCCTTGTCCAACTCGTTTTACCTTGAGGATTAAATCATATGGTTGAATTCTGACAAATTTTAAAGTAATTGTTTCAGTACTTCAAGAAATTTCTGAATCAAATGATTCTAACAGAGCTAAAGCAGAAGATTTACTTGATAAACTATTATCATTTCAGTTATATTTTGGGCTTTGCCTGGCTTATGATGTGTTTGCAGCTGTAGAACAAGTCTCTCAACATATGTAATCTGCTGAAGTAGATGCTCAAACAATTGCTTTATCAATAATGTTATTAAAAATTCATATAACCTCTATGAGATCAGAAACATGTTTTAAATCATTTTTTGAATATTGTGCTAATAAAGGAATCAAAAAATTTGGTTGCAATTTACCTCATGCTTCTAATGTAATTACAATATTAGTGACAATAATAATGTAAACTAATACTTTTCTGTGAATGAGTTGTGAACTCTTTTGTTCTATGTTAACCTATAAAATGATTTTTTTATTTAAGTTATTGAGAATGAAACTTTTTTTAAAAAAAAAAAATGCTTTTTGTAATCTAAAAAGATGTTTTATATTTTAATACATTTCTAGAGTATCAAATAATTTATTACAATATCTATTTTTACCTTAGGGCTCAACTTAAAAACAAGTTATTTTTAAGTTAAAGACTTATTAAATAGACATGCATACAAGGTAGCTGACAAGATAAGTTGATGACAATCAGGAGTTTCTCAATGTTTTGCTTGCAATGATCTGATTATTTTTATCTTTTATAAAAGTTCATATTTGTATTAAAAAGAAAAGCATTTTTGTTGAAAATTAGCTGTTTAAAAATTCACAAATTTTATTTACTGTTAAAGTTTTACTTACATGCATATGATATAAAGGGTGTCTAATAAAAGGTATCTAATTAAGGGTGCTAATGAATGATGTCAAATACACCCAAGCTGGTTTGTGTTTCAATTTATGTTTACTATTTTGATGGGTATTGTTTTTAGAGAAAAATTATAATTTAACTTTAGAAAAGTTGATTTTATATGTTTTATTAAGTAAATATTAAGTAAATATACCTATAAAAAAGGCTTTAGATATCGCGAAATAAAACTGTTCTGAAAAAAGTAGTTGTTGGAGCTACCATATAGTCATGATTTCAAAGCTAAAGAAATTAAACAAATGAATTTTAAATAGTTTTTATATTTCTTATAAAATAGATTGTTATAAAATAGATTTTTTAAATAGTAATTATATTTTAATTTTGTTTAAATAAAAGAATGTTTATAACCTTTTAATGTTTTAACATTAATTTATTTATTTTTTTTGTTTTATTTGATTGTAGAAAACAGACTTGCTTGTTGAAAGTAGTATTCAGAGTTTTTTTCTTAATGATTCTGAAACTGTTTTAAACAGTTATGTTTTCAAGTTCAATCCTCCCTCAATGTGGAATACAGCTTTTCCTTGTTCTGCTGGTTACAAAAGTTGTAAAGAACTTTCAAGTTTTCTAATTGTAACAAGTAATGGAGTTATAGAATGTAAACCAAGGTAACATTCTTTTTGTACTTAGTTAACTTCTATCAAAGAAAAACAAAAAGATTTGGTACAAAACTTTTAGAAAAAAAGATTTAGTACAAAAAATTTAGGTACAACAGATTTAGTGTATAGTATAAATTTTTGAAGTATATAAATTAAGTTATCAATTTTTTTATATTACTTTTGTTTCAGTTTTTCTTTTTTATGCATTATGAAATACATTTCTTATTATGTAAAGTCTCTTTTTTATTTCTAGAATTTTTCTTGAAAGTTATTTTGCAGAACTGTGTATGAAACATGATGTAGAATATTCTGAAAGATTTGGTCTCATCTTTAATCTTAATATAACTCTGCTTTATGAAGTATGCATTTTTATGCATATAACTCTTGCTTTGTTGAAGTATACAGTATTAGCTTATTTGTTGTGTTATAATATAATCTATGGCTATTAGTAAATAATATATACAATTTTAAAAATGACGCTACACTGTAATATATACAACATCTGTTGTTACTTAATGTACAATGTTTTAAGAAGTTTGAAAAAATAAAATTAAAACCATACCGTAAAATCGCCTAATTGTTTCTTAAATGACTAAAGTCACCATGTAACTTTGGTCATTTAAGAAACAATATAAAAAAAGCATGCAAAACTCAAATTTTACAAACTTTTTTTTATCAAATAATATTTGTAATTAGTTTGTAAATATAAATCTATAAAAAAAGTAATAATGTTTATATGCAACCTGCTGAAATAAATCTTTAGCAAAACAACAATTGAAAAAATTTGAAAAAATGCATACCATTAAAATCTAAAATAAGCAAATTATTAAAATAAATGATCATATTTAATCTTAGTATTATTAAGAATCCCAAATTATCTTTACAAAAAAAAATTATTAATTTTTGAAATTTTTTTTATAAAAGTTTAACTTAATTTAATAACTTCAGTCATTCATGGATAAACAACAAAGGAGACAGTTAGCAGTAATATTGTTAAATGTTGATGAATGTAAAATTTACTGGTAACTTTACCTGTAAATTTATCAGTAAATTTTGACATTTTTAGAATGGATACACACCATGGTATTTTTTTGAATAAAAAATTTGTTCATAATTTCAAAACTAACTGACTTTGAGTTCTAAAAAATATCAAGCTTGTGACATTTTTTTTTGAAGTTAAAATTACAGCTCAAGGACTATAATGAATGTGTTGCGAATCCTGTGGCGATTGGTTGTGCAGATCTTGCTGTTCTATGGTCAACAATACATGCAAGATTTGCCAATAAACATACAAAGCTCATTTAAAGTAAAGTAGTGTTTTTTTGTTAATTGAAAAAATCTGTTTAAATTAATTGAAAAATTTATTATTTAATTTTATTAACCAGTGGCGTAGCAAATATGATAAGGCTAAAGTAATAAAATAGTTGACTAATTACAATAAAAATTAAAAAAACTATTACTTATATTTAAAAAGACCTTTTTTTATGGGCTCCTTCTTGTTTTCTTTGGTGCCACAAAAGACTTCTTTTTTTTAAGCGGCGCTCTCCTTATTTACTTGTATTACCTGAATTTATATCATAATTTTATAATAAAACAACATTTAAAAATTAGTTTTCATTGTTTGTGATGTTAAGTTTTTCATTGTTTGTGATGTTAAGTTTCATCCTTGTATGATTTTATAGCTTTTACAACCAGAACAGTTCTAATCATAAAAAGTTATTTTAAAATTTACCAAGAAAATTAACTTGATTTTAAAAATATTTAAATATTTTCAGAAAACAATAATTTGTAAACTACTAATTTGTAAACACTAAAGCAAAAATAATTTTTTTTATAAAAAAAATTATTTTTGCTTTAGTGTGCAGTGTACCTCTGTGGATTACCAAAAATAAAATAATACTTGTCTTTACAGTTTTTGAATGGATAATATTTAAGGAAAGTATTTGCCCTATTTGCTTACTATGAAAAAAAAATTTGAAAAAGTACACTCTATTTGTGTTAGGTTCTTTATAAAAAGATACCTGAAGCTCTTACTTAAAGGTTAGGAAACAAGTCGCTTTGTCTTAGAAGTTGGACCATTCTTTTCCTTCAGGTAGAGAAAGTGCTTGATAACGTCAGCCCTAGTTGGCAGCCTAACTGAGGACATCTTGACTGGTTTGCCAACTAAGAAGTATTGTTCTGTGTGATTACTTTCTTTGCTTTTTCTTGTATGTTTTGGAATTTTCACATTTTCATTTTCCAAAGGAATTTCACCTTTGTTTCGAGTTTTCATTTCTAAAAATAATTTTGAAATTTTAATTAATTAAACAAATTTAATTTATAGTTTATAATATAAATGCATGAAATAATTGAGATATAAAAAAAAAGATTAAACAAATCAAAACTGATTGGTTAGATAGAACATGTTAATATTTGAAAGTTGAGTAGAGTTCATAACTTCCAAAAGGTTATTGTGTACACTTCATTTATGGATAAATTGTTTAGATTATTGCGAGAAAGAGTAATTCCTTAACTCAATCTTGTTCAACTAGGCTCAAATATTAAAAAATTAGTATCCTACAATGCATAAATTATTGGGTGGGCATGGGGGATAGTGGAGAGGTGTTTAGAGGTGTGTAATCCCCATTTCCTCCCAAAATGAAAGATTGTAATTGTAATAAAATAATATACATTTTAATTATGCATGGGACTAACATTGAGTTGATAACCCTATTAGTACTGAAGTCAAGTTGGGGCACTGCTTCCCCATGGGGGAGTAGGGAGGCTTTTCCCCAAGATACATAGGTGTAATTTTTTAAATCTGACATCTATATCCTTAAGGAGCTTGCACACAAAATTTTAGGTTGCTATGACTGTTGTATCATGCTGCACCAAAATCTGTTTGGTTTTAGTGATTGATTGATTGACCTCTGTTTTCTTGCATAACTTTAAAAAAATAGTTTTGCATAATATGAAGCAATAGAGCTAGGAGCTTGATTTTTGAAGCAAAATTTGGCAAATATTACAAAGTGTGACAGTTTTCAAATTGACAATTATCTTACATGATTTCCCACTATTGAAATGTTATAAATCTTTCTGTTTTTTCTTTAGTTTATTGCTGACCAATGTCTGTTGAATAAGGATTTGCAAAATGCAAACAAGTTTTATAACTTGTCAAAGGTTTGTTTGATTATTGATTTTAAATAATATTTTAAAAGTTATATATTTCTTGTAATATAAATCTTAATTTACTTTAATCATTTGGGAACTCTGTTGGGTTTTAAAAATAGAAAAGGAGTAATTGAATTCTCGTAGGTTTTAAATAAAATGTCATTTATTTAATTTCATTAGTTTAATAATTTATAAAATATATAAATAATAACAATGTAACATGATTAAACGTTATTAATGATTTCATATATAAAATCAAATTTATCAAGTTGTTGATTTTGTGCTTTTTTAAATATTATAAAGTTTAATATACTTATGCAATTATTGTAATGTTTATAATTCTTAGTTGAAATATAAAAGTTTAAATAACAGATTGTAATCAAATTCTTAAAAGATTTTTTTTAACCATAAAAGTCTGCATACTGTTTAAAGGTTTTGGATAGTTTTTGTCTGCTAGAATTGTTACATCTAATTTTTCAAGTATTGAAAGTTAGTTGTTACTTTTAGTTACTTTTTGGTAATTTTAAAATAATTTTATATTAAAATACATTTATAATTCAACTTTTGGCATATATTATCTAGAAAAATACCAAATAAAGATAAGATGATATTGTATAAGTAATTTCTCCAGATACACCCTGAGGAAATTGGCCTCTCAGTAGAGTTACAGAATTATTTGAAGATAAAGATTGACGTGATAGAATTGCAAAAATTGGTGACAAAGAATTTATATATTTTAGAAATAATATATCGACTATAAATTAAGTTTAATTAAATTCATGTAATCAGTTTTTTTTTTTTTTTTCATCCGATCAAATGCAACATTTATTTTTTTATCTTATCTATGATTTAATTTCAAATCATTATCATACACATTAATATAATGTCCTGTGGATCTATGAACATGCTGAATTTCTTTTGAAGATAGCAAAGTTCTAATAATTCTACTTGCTGCCATTTCAGAGGGTTTATCAACCATTTTTAACCAACTGTCAGCCACTCAAGTAAGGATTGGCTTAAAGGGATCCCTAAGTGCTATAAAGATATGATCTCATATGAAAGAGCATTAAAAAAAAAAATGTTTGATGTATATTATTTTTTCTAAAACGTAATAATGAACACACACTAACAAATTTAATTTTCAAAAAAACGCTTTTCTTCGATTAAAAAAAAATGCGTCTTGTCCAAAGTTTATTGACTCTACTGCCTCAAAAAACCAACGTTTGTACGTCAAAATAAACAAAGTAGACAAAATGTCATTATTGCAAACTTATTAGTTGGTAATTAAATTTAAAAGTAAAGTCGATTTTATTTCAACTAACACAATTACTTACAAGAATAAGTTTTGTAGCATTTTGTGAAAATATATTTGTATATTAAAAATTTTTTTATAATTTTAATTTATATATTTGTGTTATAAGGGCAATTCCACGGCCAAAAATGAATAGAAGTCAAATTTTAAACTCTTTTTAACAAATGAATATTGATTTAGACACATAAAAGTTTATTTAAAATATTTCCTTAGTACAAAAATAAATTTATTTCAGTCATTTTTATGGTTTCAAAAGTGACGGTTACTCTCATTTTTGCTTGATAAAAAAAATAATTATTGTAAAATGTTTTACTTAAATTAACATTTATGTTAATTTTGCTATATTTTTTTTGGTTCAAATTAATAAGGTTGAATAGACATTTTGTTAGAAATTAAACTAAGACAGGGCTCGAATTAACGCAAAAAAAAATCTGATCGCGATAAAAAATTTTTTTTTTGCTCTCTCTCCCCCCCCCCCCCTCTCTCTCTCTCTCTCTCTTATAGGTCGCGCCGATGTGCGTGAATGGGGGGGGGGGGAGAATTATCGTCAATAAATCAAAAAACATCGTCAAAAACTTAATAAAAAATTATATACCACGTTTTTTATAATTTATTGTTTCTTGAATAAAGGACTAATAAAAGTTTAAATATAATTAAGTTTTTCATTTAAATGGTTGATGTTTTTTTCAATTTTTCTATTTCAAGTTTTCCAATAAAAGATGAAACAAAAAAATTTGGTTAAATAAATCGAAATATACTTCACGTTTAAAATAAGGCTAAAGTAAAAAAAATTGCTGGTTTTTATTAGCTTTTTTATACTGTTTGAAAAAAAATAATAATAAAAAAGAATTAACTAATAATATATTAATTAATAATTATTAGAATTAATAATAATAACAATTAATTCTTTTTTATTAGTTTTTTTTTTCAAACAGTATAAAAATGCAAATAAAAGTCAGTATTTTTTTTGCTCTAACGTTTTTAAGCCTTATTTTAAACATGAAGTTTTGATAAACAAAGATAAAAACGAACTTTTCAACTTTTCGCTTTAACGACCTTGTAAAAATTTTCCACGCAGAGATTTAAAGTAATTTAAATTCAAAAATGTTTAACGTTGAAAGAAAATCTCCGCGCGAAATAGCAAATCTATCTATTCAGAATAATAAATTTTGTGTGACGTTCTTTATGATAAAAACATTACTTTTAAGGATTGCTAAAAAAAATGCTAAGCTAGAAAAAAAGTAATTAAACAACCAAAAAAAAAAATAAAAATTGCGAAAAGATTTTTTTTAAGAAAAAACTAATCACAAAAGTGTGAAAAGCAATCGCGATCGCGATACGCTTAATACGAGCCCTGTAAGACTTTTTTATAAGTTCTAAACTATTAAAAACTATTACTTAATAACTTTTTTTTAACGACGTCTTTCAACCGAATGATATTATACTGTTTTTGCAAAACTAATTAAAAAAACTTGATTAAAACTTAACTATTTAATCACGACTTTTTTTTACTTGAAAATCGAAGTAGATATTTTAAAGTTGTTGTGACGTACTAACGTGATTTTTAACGACTAAAAATCGAGTTTCAATGGTGAAAAAATAAAATCAAAATGGAGTTGTTTTTCAGTGATTTCGGCAATTGCTTTTTGTTAGCATGCATTTATTATTACAATTTAGTGAAAAAGAAAAAAAACTTACATATTTTTTTTTTATGCTTTTTCATATGAGATCATATGTTAGGAGCACTTAGGGATCCCTTTAAGAAGTTAAACTCCAAAGCCACAAGCCTAATATTTAGTCTGAATCTGTATTTTTCCACTATATTTGCAATAGTTTAAAGCTTTTGTCCTCAATCTAATACTTCTGGTTAGTGCGTTGGTAACCCAATGAAATACCACTTTCGAATCAGTGCAGATTTTCCATTTTCTAAGGCAAAATTTCCATTTTCCAGTTGAGGCCCATGTTTAATCTTTCAATTACTGCATCAAGTTCAGACATGTTTATATGCGTTGTGTCATCTTTTCCTAACCAAAATCATCATCTCTTCTCCAATACAACTTTGTATTTTTAATTCTAACTTGTAACCCTAAAACTCTAGTTTCTTTGGATACAAGAACCACTGGGTTACAATGTAGTTCATAGATTTCCAAATGGTCAAGTACGTAACAAACAGTTATTGTGTCTTTATTTACAATACTACCACAGGGTGGCCACTGGTCATGGAAATCATTGAAATTATGGAAATGTCATGGAATTATATTTGGTCATGGAAAAAGTTATGGAATTCCTAAATTTTAATTGAAAGTCATAAAATTCATGGAACTTTTCATTTTCATTTCTAATTTATCAACATCTAATAATTTGTTATTTATTTATGCTATTTTTTATCGATACACGTTTATTAGACTTATAGTACTCACATCTACCTTTTGTAACACCAACTAAAAAGACTTTCAACTATTTTCACACTGATAACTCTCATTATCAAGACATGCTACAAAAGTAATCAAACACACGTACACGGCATTATCTGCTAACATTACACACACAGTTATAAGAACTCAAAACAGCTCACAACTGTCATTGACTCTGACAAACCACTGCACCCAATAGACACTCATGTCAAAAAACTACTTACTACTGTTTGCAAGTTGTACTGAACCCCACTAAGAGTCCTCTGGTCCCAGTGTCAATTCAGGAGTCTGTGGCAGTCTTCCTGACTGGATACTCTGAGAATAGTCCTTTTGGGATAACACAATGGGATACCTTTAAAAAGATACCCTGGTGTAGACCCAGAGTGGAACTTCTTTTGGGATGCCAGTTTCGGATGAAAGCTGGAGGTCTTTATGCGTTCACACTGCACCATAGGGCTCGAATCCATACTGTACTCGAGACGTTCATGACACTTACATCTATAATGAATGTTTATCACCCTAAGAATACAAACCACACGATGACTACTTATAAAACGAATAATTCTACTCCATTACCAATTCTATCTACAAATCACATTTACGCTGGTCTCCAACAACAATTTAGTAGCACTACAACTAATGACTTTCCTTGACTGTTGTTTATTATTCTTATTTACTTTTTACTACACTTTACACATATTAGTTTTTAATATTTTTCCACTTTGAGGCTCTTTGTTTTCCTCTGGACATCTGTCCTTTTGTACTTTTATCTCACTCTGCTAAACTCTTTTTAACTTATTATTCATCCCTAAGGCGTACACTGCTCGGTGCAGCTTCACTAAAATGCATTGCATTTACAAAAGAGTCATGGAAAAATCATGGAACATTCATGAAAAAGTCATGGAAAAAGTCATTTTAAAAATTGAGTTGTATCTTTGTATCAGTGTTCCTCTCCAGATCCACTTCTCTTCCACTGCTCTTATTGTAACTGTGTCAGAGACTCAGAGTGGTAACTGTGTGAGCAGTGGAACTTCCAGTTCCACTGCTCTTATTATAACTGGCGTAATGTTAAGACTAAATCCTAAACATGTTAAACAAAACCTTTGTCCACAAAACACAACAGTTTGGCAAGTCCAGAGTTTCTTATCAATGAGTTGCATATTAGCTTAAGGTAATTATTAAAACATTTTCTCTAAATTGTCTCAAGTCTTAAAGTTTTTCAGCACACACATCAATGTTTCAATAAACGTGTTCAATAAAACAAATTTATATAATTTATCAAAAGATGAATACAATAAGTTGCTAATGAACGCTACAACATCTAATTATTAAAAAACTAACCTAATAATGAAAGACCACATTAATAAAGAAGGAAAAACTATTTTAAAGAATCTTGATGTTTTTAACAAAATCAATATAAATGGATCTTCTAATTGTTTCATTACACTGAAAGACCATAAACCAAACTTTTTAAATAACCCTACTGTTCGTCTTATTAACCCAGCTAAGAATCAAATTGGTAGAATAAGTAAGCATATTTTATCTGATATTAACACCAATGTGAGAAATTGTTTTTTGTTTTATTCCACTAATTTTGCAATTAAATTAGTGGAATAAAACAAAAAACATAATAAATTTGTCCATAAACATCAACAAAAAAGCATTTTTATAAATTCTTTATTTTTGACAAGCTTCTAATTCTTAATGCAGAACAATAGATTACAATTGTTACAGATTATAAATTTTTTTGTTCTTCACACACAAAAATCTTTATGATTTAGCAATGAACAAGTTATATATATATATATATATATATATATATATATATATATATATATATATATATATATATATATATATATATGTTTATATATAAATATATATATATATATATATATATATATATATATATATATATATATATATATATATATATATATATATATATATATATATATATATATTGACATTACTTCAAATATATAAATATTGACATTTACTTTAAATACTAAATACTGGTATGATAGATATATTTAATTTTAGTGTTCTCCTATTAGAAGAGCAGCTCAATTGATTCGTTTTGCTTCAATTAAAGATGGTCTCATATTTATTCAGCAGGTAGATATTTATGTAAATAAATAAAAATTATTTTAAAGGTTTAGGATGGTTCTATTATTATAAGAAACAGGGAACAACAAAATATGTCTGAAAAAACTGTTTACTAAATAAAAGTTTTAAACTGTTTTTAAAGTTCAGCCACCTTAAGCTTTTTTATTAAATTTTAATTTTTGAAGAGATATCAAGTTATTTAATATGGCTTGCTAATCTTATAATATATTGATATTGAATTTGATGCTGCTGCCATTACTCATTTGTGTTTGTTTGGCACGGAACTCATGGCAACCATTACACCAGAATTAATAATGAGAAAGAGTCGCAGCACTTTTTCTTATAAGAAAATGTAAACAAAAGTGTATGCAAATATCTAACTTATGTAAACATTAAATTAATGTAATGTTAAAAATTATATAAAGCTTTAAAGTTTTACTTAAAATTGTATTGCAGCAGCATCTTCTTAATTTTGATTTATAACATTTTTTTTGCCATTTTATAAAATCTTTAGTTTATTCAATAGTTTTAAAAAAAATTATTGAATACGCCTTTGTGGCCAAAGTGTTTAGCTCACAGTGCATCTCAGTGGTTCAAATCCTTATGCTTGCTCCTTTTTTTTTTTAATTTAATTTTTTTATTTTTTCAAATACAAAATAAAACTTTTTTGAAGTTGTATAGATATTATATACATAATATATATAAAGATATTAAATACTATAACAAACGAAAGGGAGAGAATTTTTAAAAAAGCCTGAAATTTCTATAAATATCAAAACACCAGGAGAATTTTGTTGTGCATATGTCATGATAGAGATACTTATGTTATAATGTGCTCAGGTAATTAGCTTATTATAGGTACTAGCGATTTTGGTATTAAGTTGTTTCAAGCTGAAGTAGATAGTAAGTAGTTTATAAGAAAATAAGAGTTAACTCAAAAATAAAAAAATAAAAAGTTAACTAGTAGCTATCTTATTTGAAAAATAACTTTGAAAAATCAACATAAATAACTGCTTAAAAGACGCCATTTGATGTAGAATTACAACGAAGTGTGTCATTAAAAATAAGTAAAACGTAAACAATACTCACACATTCCAGTGATTTTTTTTTTTTCTGCATAAAGTTAAAATTTTCAAGCTAAAAAGATGATTTTTTTTTTCTAACATAAAAACAAAAATATATGAAAAAATTTTTGTTAACTGTCTATCTAAACCCAAAGAAGTTGCAACATTTAAAAACATGTTTTTTTATAAATGTTTTATTTACATAAATTCATCTAATTATTTGGCTTTTATGTAGGGAAGACTTGCAACTTTCAAATTTTGCACATAATAATTTATGTCTAATAAAGGTACTCCCGCTTGAAGCAATTCATTTTTCTAAAAAAAGTTGAACATTGCTGGTGCATAACTAATAAGCTAATAATGGTCTGAAAAAATGTTATGGTCTGAAACTTATTAAAGAAAAAATTTGATAAGCCCATCCTGCTACTCCAGAAAGTGCTGCTGTGGTGGCAAAAAATTAAAAAAAAAACTTTGAAAATTTATATTAACAATGAAAAGTCTTTTTTGCTATATTTATTTTATTGCTATAAATATATAAGACCAGATTGAAAAATATATTGTGTTGAAGGATTTGAACCCTTACTAAATGACACCTATTACAGGACAACTACTGATCTATTAAAGTTATGCATGTAATAGAAAAAAACCATTTTATAAATCTCTCATACCATTAATCAACACTTTTCGAGCGGGTTCTCTAAATAAGTACAGCTTTATTGCATAGTAATAAATTTGCGTTTACATATAAACAATATATATAAACAAGTATGTTATATACAATTGTAAAAAATCCTTATATTTAACATTATATACAGGATCGTGTGTAATATAAGAAATGTTTTCTAATAAGTCTTTTTTGTTTAAACTGCTTTGTTTTGAGTTTTTGCATTTATGCTATTGTATTTAAAAATATTGACAAGATTTAAAAAATATCAAACATGCTGTCTCATCCAACTTGAAAATTTATATAAGGAAAACGTATAAAAGTTAGTATGGAATAGACTTACAAAAGCTTTGTATACTTTACATTTATATCTTTTACAGATCCGCTCAGCTAGTAATTATAAATCAATCATTAAGGTAAATAAAACCAATTATTTTTTATTTATTTTCAAACCAAAGTTAATCTAAGTTTCATCCAGAAAAAAGATAAAAGTTACAATCCTAGTAAATAATATTATAACCCCAGTAAATAATGTTATAACCATAGTAACCAATGTTATAACCCTGTAAATAATGTTATAACCTTAGTAAATAATTTAATATAAGCAGTAAAATTGTTATTAGGAAATAAGAAAATGTGTAGAATTACCAAGTCTATTATATTATGTAAAACACTTGATGATGTGTTTTTAAAATATTTTAAAGTTAATTTTAAAATTAAAGTTGTTTAAAAAATTTATTTTAAATGCTGTTTATAGGCTTTTTAAAAATAATATTAGGATTTTTACAAAGGCATTTGTTGTTCTCTGTTACATATAATAAATAGATTATTTCTAAAACTTCTTTACAATACTTCTAGTTATGGTTTTTGTTTTTTTGTTTTGTTAATGTAAAAATATACACAAATTAAAAATAAATTAAACAAAAGTAAAATAAATTTAAAAAATTAAAACAAAGTTTTATAAAAAAATAATTTTCATTATAGAGTTTGCAAAAAATTACTAATGGTAATGAACGGAACACTCTATCAAATTTGGCTGTGCTATGTTATATTGAACAAGTATTTATTTGAGTCCTATTAATTGTATATAGTTTTATTGTGTTATATTATATAGATCACAGCAAAAACTTTTACAAATCTTTATTTAAACGTTTTTCTAAATAATTTTAACATTCTCTTGAAAGTTTAAGCATTCTCATTTTAAGATTTGCAATTAATAAAAAAAAAATTGTGTGTGGGTTTATTGAGTATATGTGTGTGTATTTAGGTTATGGAGGCTTTAAACTCTGGAACATTTTTTAGAAACTTGTGTGATTCTTTCAAGTATGTTTTTTTTTTAGTAGTAATTTTTTTTTAAAGCTGTATTCACTTCCTCAAGGTCAAGGGGGCCATTACACTCAGGGAGGTTCAATTTGTTTCTCCACACAGCAAACAAATTGAGCTCCCCTTTAACCAAGGGCATGACAGGGATCAAATTCTTTACAAAACAAGCACTCTACCACTACATTGTTACCTCATTAAATTGTAATTGAACATGTCCTTTTCTTTATCAGACTATAATTATCATAAGAATTATTTTTAATTAAATGTTATAAATGTTAAGAGCTAAATATTGATTCATTTACATATTACAAAATAAATAATTACAAATTAAGATTACTGTCAGGTTTAAATATTTAAATTAGGTTTACATCAGATAACATATTATCATTTTGTATGGAAAAAGCAGAAAATGTAGAATTTTGAATTTTATCTACTAGAATTTTGAAGTCTATTTAAATTTGAACCTTATTTTTATTGTCTTAATTAAAATCCGAATGTGCTATTGGTGGTCAGAACTCCAGGACTCAGGGTTCAAAAATGATTTAGAGTAAAATGATTTAGAATAAAAGTGGTAACATGTTATCCTTTGTCAAAAATATCTGATTTAATTATAGGTTATTGAGTGAATTTTTATTATTAAATGAATGATCAGTTAGTTAATCAATTTTTAAAAAATCATTGGAAACTAAAAAATTAAGTCAAAATTATATACTAAACTATAAATTATAGCATAAACATGTGGGTTCAATTAACTATACAATGCCAACAATAATCTTGATTTTGCTGATTTTTTGCTTTGTCTTGTAATAGATGGCAAGCAATATTAAACATTTTACCGCAAGGTAAAATGTACCTAAAAATTTACCACAAGGTTGATTTGCCTTGATTTACCTCAAAGATTTGCCTCAATGTTGTTTTGCCTTGATTTATCACAAAGATTTAAAACAAGGTTGTTTTGCCTTGATTTACCACAAAGATATTTTGATATTTTGCATTGTGATTTTTGATATTTTGTCATGTGGCATTTGCATTGTGGTATTTCTATGGTGATACTTACATTGTGAACTTTGTTATGTTTGGTCAAGAATAGTAATTTAAATCATGGACAATTTTTAATTAAGGTTTTGCAACAATGCATACATCAACTGACTTAATTAGAGAGAACATGCAGGGAGTGAACATACATGGGCTGACTTAAATAGGAACATGCAGTTAGAGAGAACATGCAGTGAGTGTACATACATTGCTGTAATGTTTAGGGTTGGCATTTAGAGATTGACAAGCCTAACCTAAACCCTAAGTTTAAAAAATTTATTTCTCATGGTTTAAGTAGTTGTAAAATGTTTCAAATAATTATGTAATAATTGTAATAATTATGATTTTTATTTTTTATATTTAAAAATTTAAGAACATTTTTTACACAAATTTTAAATTTTAATACCTACTAAAGTCTCAACAAATTTTTTTAGAACATTTTTTTGACAATTATTTTTAGATCATTTCTATATAACAACTTAGATTATGATGCTTTGGTAGCCATAGATTTACTTGTTAGAAATGGCTTATTAGAATATTTATTTGATGTTGCCAAGGTATTTATTTTCAACATTTTTGCTAATATATAATTTCTTAAAATTAAAATAGACAATGTTGGTTTGATATTTTAAACATTTTTTGCTAATATATAATTTCTTAAAATTAAAATAGACAGTGTCGATTTGATATTTCAAACATTTTTTTGAAGAGACTTAAAGATGAATATTAAAAATAAAAACATTAAAAAAAACTTTTAACATTTTTCAAACAATTTTTAATTGTCTTATTTTTGTGGTTTTTAACTTTTATAAATTTTGTTTGACAAATTTAAGTTGTTTTTTCATACAATTTTATTGTTTAAATAGAAATTATTTTTTTTTTATTGTGTAAATTTTAGGCAAGAGGGCTAATACAAGCAGCTCTAGAAAAATTAGCTTGTTTTGGAAATTTTCAATTAGCGCAATCATTGCAAACCATGTTGATAGATGGGGGTCATGCAGAAATTTTTTGCAATGTTTTTAATGGTACTTTAGTGATTTAAAAAAAAAATTTCCTTTTATAAAACTATAATAATAATTTGTAATAATATATTTATATATGTAAATGAAATATATTTATATATATAAGCAAAATAAATTCATATATGTAAATAAATTATATTTATATATATAAACAAAATACATTTATATAAATAAATTATTGTTTTGAATTTTATTTTAAGGAGTCTTTATTAAACAAATGGAACCAGATGAAGCTGTTAAATGTCTACTTTCACAGGTAATACTTTGGTCTTTACACAATAAAAAATCAAAAAGTTTTGAAAACTAAAGAAAATATTTCAAATATATAATATATTTTGGATATATTGATTTGAACCTAATAAAAAACTGTCAATATCCTAATCTTAATATTTTTCAGATTAATCCTTGATGACTTTTGAACAGATAAATTAAAAAATGAAACATGTTTTTAAAGAACATAAATACAAAATTGAAATAAAGTTCTTTAGTTGACTGTAGGAAAAAATAAAAGATTTTTTACTATGTTGCTCAAGATAACTTTTCAAAGAAAAATCATCATTATTTATTTATTTATGGAAATTGGTTTATTTAAATTAAATAAATAACTGTTTCTGAAGAAAGTTAAAAAGTTCAGCTGACTAGATTAAAAAAGAAAAAAAAAAAAAATGAAATGTAATAGAGTAAAAATAAGAGGTTCACACTAAACTGTGAATAAAGTTTAAAAATTTGACAAAAGTTATAGTTTTTTTCACAGTTTAGTGTGAATCTCTTGGTTCTTGATCTGGTGGTTGAGAAAAAATAGCTTTCTTATTATTAGAAACTTACGCATTAAAAATAAAGTTCAAAACTTAAGCTTTGGATATTTTAAGCAAAGAAAGATTTCTGATTTATTAAATTTTATTAAATTTTCTCTTAAATCTTGAAAGAGAAAAAATATTTTTAATTTTTTGCAATAATCAATTTTCTTACAATTAGATATTAAATAATATATTTTTTTCAGCCATCTGTTTCTAAAGAATTCATTTCTGTTATCTCTGACCAATTACTTAATTTGTCAGAAACTTCATTACTCTACTTAGCTAGAATGTTTGATCCATCAAGACAATTTATGCGACCTCTTATAGAGCAGAGTGAGTTGAAGTTAAGAAAGAGGTATAAATAATTTTTTTTTGTTTACAAAACTTCTCACTTAAATATGATAATATAAATATGATATATGATAAAAATGTTTATTTTAGTAATTTAAAATATTTTGTAGCAAAATAAGTGCAAAAAATAAAAACTCATAAGTTAAGTATCATAACTTTTATTTATATGACATATTTTTATGATTTCGTATAAGATTTTTATCAAATCTTCATAATCTCATATTTTTATGATAGCTTTCATATAAGATTGTTATCAAATCTTTATAAAAACACTCTCATAAGTTATATTTTATATCTTTATTTTCATAAGTTATGTTTCATATTATAAGTTAAGTGTCATATCTTTATAAAAACATTCCTTTAATTTGAGTGTCATATCTTTATAAAAACTCATTAGTTGAGTTTCATTTCCTTATGATACCATTATCATAAGTAAAGTGTCAAATTTCTTGATATTATTCTAATATCTTTAGTGTCTTATCTTTATAAAACATTTTTATAAGTTGAGCATTTATTCAATAGTTTTAAAATCGTTTAGACTTAAGATATGATATTAGGAGTTTATTAAGTTTCTTGCATTTTTGATTTTTTGAATTAAAATTAATTAAAAATTTGTGACTTTGCTGATTTGTGAATTTGTAAGAAGATTGGAGCATGTCTAACAATGGGCTGTTTCTCTGGAATGTCAGGAGTGTTGTCATTACATATACGAGAAAAATAAGAGGAAAAGTTCTTTAAGTTTTTCATTCTTCAGTAAAATAATCAGATGTATGAAAGATATGTTAGACTTGCTTTTATTAATGATGCTGATTTTTCAAGGTTTTTAGAACTTTAGATAGATGAGTTAGTAATTTAAGAATAATGGACCATAAGACAATTTTTTATTTTTTTTAAGGCAAAAATAAATGAGATCATTAAACATTAAAAAAACTTTTTAAGCATCAATTTCTTACAATTATAAATTGACCTTTGGGTAGTTTGACTCAAGGTAAACTTAAGGTTTGAATAGATACATATAATTTGGTCGTCATGATGGTTTTTTATGTTTAATATTTTTTGGTACTATAATTTTGAATTATATTATTAGAGCAAACTTGAATAAGGATTATTTGACTGTTTGCTTAAAAAGAAAACGCAACCAGATACTGAAAGTTTTTAAAATCTTATTATTTTAAAATATGATGTATCTTGCATACTTTTCAAATATTAAGAAAATAGTTTCACTTAAGTAAAACTCAGAAAAACTATCCTTAAATAGTTCTAATGTTGTTGGTTGGTCAAAAGCTTATTATGAAATTTCCTGCAAATAAAAAGTGTGCAGCTATTGACAAAGATTAACTATACAACAGATAAAAACATTTTTTTTATGAATTGTAAAGAATTAGTGTTATCAATAAAATCTCAAAAATAAAAAAGTTCAAAAAAAAGCTAAAAGAGTAAAGCAGTTTAAAAAGAGAGATTTATGTTTTGGTGATAATATACCGGATGAAGATTTTTACTTTTTACACTTATTCTTTTTCATTTATGGCACTTATAAATAGTTTATTTTGGACTGCTGTTTTATATTATCTATATATCTTATATATGCTTTGTTGAAATTTTAGTTGTTAAATTTGATAAAAACAAAATCTAAATATGTTAGAGAGAGAAAATGATTTCTGAACAAATTTGAAGTATAAACAAAAAAATAATAATAATATTTAAACAGTTACATAGTTTACTGCTCTACCAGATTATAATATCTTATGTTTTATAGTGGAACTTGTAAGAGTGAATTGTGTAATTGCCTGTTGCTTAGATAAAAGTAGTTTTGCGTCTAATGCAATTTTTACAGACACAAAACCAAGGTAGAGGGGATCAGTTGAGGAGGCTACTCTTTTTTTTTTTTTGATTATTTAAACCCTCTTTTATTCTTATAACGATAAAACAAGAGTGTTGTGGGAGGAAAAAAGTTGACCAAGGTGCTACCAGGGAAGTGGTGGGGATCATCCTGGTACTTCTAACTCAAGAAGCAAGTTTATTTTATTATTTTATGTAGTTATAAAATAAAAATACATAAAATTATAAAATAATTTATTTTATCTATCAGATTTAGTAGAGATTAACATTATTATTATTAGTTTAATATTTAACATTATTATTATTAGTTTAATATTTAATATTGCAATAATTTATTAATGCAAAAACAAGAATGTTAAATTTTATAAAAACATTTTGTATTTAGAACAGGTTCTGATTCCAGTTACTCTAAGTCATCAGAAACGGCAAGTATTTTTTAAAGTGTTTAATAATTTTTATTATAATAAAATAAATTTTCGTTTTATAATATTTTTGTATGTAGAATAAAGAGCTTTCTGTATCTGATATAATTGTTGTTTTCTTGAAATCCATTATTGCATTGAATGCTTGTCGAAAAATAAACAATTTACCGGATATGTAAGAAAATTTTCTAATTATGCATATATTTTTTTCTAATTCTATTTTTTTTTTCTAATTCTGTATTTACATTTTTAAAAGTTTAAATGTTTTTTTGCAATATGCTTATGGCAATTTTTTTCATTATAGATAAAATTTTTTAAAAGTTAGTCTAAAACATGTGTTGCTTTTAAGTTTACGCTGTTGCTCGCGCAACGGTACCATCGCTTTAAGTTTTTTCTTAAAGTCATGGTAGTGATTTCTGATTGGTTGATTTTTTTTTCTTTTATTTAAAGAATGCATGCCTAAACCAAAACCCTTAATCGATGTATGTGCGTTCCACTTCACCTATCCCTAAATCAGTGGATGTATGTACACTCACTGCGTCTATCCCTATATCAGTTGGTGTATGTAAATAATAAAAATGTTAAGTTAAACTTAAAGGTTTTTTGTAAAGTTAATATTTTAAAAAATCTGTTTATTTTGATTTATTTTTGGAAATCGTTTTTAAAAAAAGTATGTATTACATTGAAATATTATTAACTTAGCAAGATTATCTGAAAAACCATTCTTTAAAAAAGATTTAGTTGAATTTTAAAAGATTAAGTTAAAATGTTGTTGTTGTTTTATCATGTTTATTATCTTTTAGAACTTTGGTTTCACTTCATATGTCTGGTCAGTTGAGTTTAACAAATTCATTAATTAAGGTATATAATTATAATATTGATGATGATGGCAATGATTACAATAATAGTAATGATGATGATAATCATGATGATGATGATGATGATGATCATATTTTTTTTTTTTACTTAGTCAGATAGTATCAGTAGCAATGATCTTCTCTTTACCAGTACACCTAGAGCAAGAATTGCTTGTGGAAGGAACCATATTGCATTTGTCACAAATAATAAAGAATTATACACTTGGGGAAAGGAATGTGGTGGACGGTAGTTTTTTGTTCAGATTTTGTAAACAAATTTTTATCTTCAAAAATGTGCAAACAAAATACAGCTATAAATTTTTTATTTTTTTTATTTTTAGAAAAGATAATGTACAGAATACTTGTCTGCCTATGAGAATGGAAAATTTACACAACCAAGGGTAATTTTTATTATAACCTTTGTTTTAATGATAGAAAATAAAGAAGTAACCTTTTAAATGAGGAAGAAAAATTGTTGATTATATTTTTTTATTTGTTCTTAAAATCAATTTATAGCATTCAGGTAGTTTCAGTTGCCTGTGGTGAGTTTCATACAATAGCACTATGCGAAGAAGGGGTAATTACATTTTTTTATAAAGTGTTATGATATTGTGGTCAAGGTAAACATAAGGCCTCAAAAATTTTGGTTTTTAAAAAAAAATTAAATCATTTCAAAAAGTTTGTTAAATTACATTTATATAGCTTGTTGCATTAATTTTTTATTCTCTAAAAAAAAAAATGATGTTCAAAAATTATCTAAATCTTTTTCAAAATTATTAAAAATTATTTAAAATGTGCTGTGATTTCTACAAAGTTGGAAACACAATAAATGTTCTATATAATAATAAAAGTATTACAAAATCTAGCTTAAAAAGTAAAAGCATTATTATTACACATTATATAAATAAAAAAAATTATTTAAAAATCTCAAAATGCCAGTATTTTAACAGGGTTTATTGATTTCTTAGTATTACTTATTTAGCTAGATACTTGTATTTGAGACTAATTATTATGACTTGTATGAAATAAACCTCTTGTTTAATGTTCTCTTTTATCTAATTTATCTAATATAAATATAATTTATCCATTACATTTATATAATAATCAAATATATAAATATGTCTATCTGGTTAGTCTTTAGGCAATTTTGTTAAGATTATCTGGTTAGTCTTTAGGTGATTAGGTTTCACTTTTTATTCTATTCTTATTCTTATTTAATTTATATATATATATATATATATATATATATATATATATATATATATATATATATATATATATATATATATATATATATATATATATTATTTGTACATACATACATATACAGTTATGTAGTTTATTTTTTAGGTTTATTCATGGGGATCAAATGAATATGGTCAAGTAAGTCTATAAAACACATATGCAATTTATTATATTTAACATTTAAATTTAATATATATTATTATTTTGTGTAATGATAATCATAATCTGATCATAATGACTGATCCTATATTTGGGTAAATAAGGCTACTTTGCCATTGTAAAAGTAACTTACATAAGAGAAGGAAAACTCCTATATAAAACTTTCAATTTAGTTATGAGTAAAGTTAGGAGGAGCTCAAAAACCTTAAATGGTATTCCTCCTAATGGTATTATTGCAATAAGAATACTCCCGGTATGTCTCAGGCTGTAAATCTGGTTAATTCACAGGGATTATCTTTTTCCAGATATTTTCGGAATTTCAGATATTTTTCTTAACTTTAAGTTTTTCTGGATATCCAAAAGGTTTTCAATATATACAAGTTTAGTTATATAATTTTGTAATATCTTTGTTTTATAAGCTCACTCATCACTCATACAAAAATTAAAAGAAGTTTGAAAAATATTGTCAGCCAAAAGTAAAATTAAGAGTAAAATAATCGAAAATATATTCTGGATTTTTTGGGAGATTTTACCCAAACAATTTTCCGGATTTTTAAAATATGACTAGGATGATCTATGATGTCAGGAAGACCATCTAGTAGTAAAAATTGCTTCAATTTTTCCATGATATTTATATAAGGCATGTTTATATAAGAAATTGACATTTGAAAACTCATCCAAACTGCAAGTGCGGAACCATGGCCGTCAAACTCTAAATAATGATTTGTATATATATTTAATATTATTATTATTATTATAAACCTCTTGGTTCTTACTCCGAAACAAGAGTGTCATGGTTCAATGCTGGCTCTAGACCAATAAGCGACATTGGTAAGGAAGAAGGCATGAACTTCCTAGTTAAATACTCTTCTGCTTTGTAATAAGACCTTAACGACTTCTTGGAGCACATAACCACAAAAATAAAATAGTTTTTTGTTGTTGTTGTTGTTATTGTTGTAATTGTAGATTATTGTAAATTTATATATATGTATATTTTAATTTTTTTTTTCAAAGTTGATGTCATTTAATTTATTTATACAATTATATAAGCTTTCATAATTTATAATGAAGTTCCTATTATATAATAAATCATTTCATATGAAGCTTGGAGTTGGTGATACTAGAACAAGATATCGTCCTGTGCTTATTACTCACATAAGTAGTAAACAAATTGTTTCAGTTGTATGTGGTGCATATCATACTCTTGCAATAACATCTGATTACAAAGTTTATAGTTGGGGATGGGGAGTTCATGGCCAACTTGGATTGAAATCTGTTGAAAATCAGCTAACACCAAAACAGATTGATTTGTTAGATTCTCATAAAGTAATACAGGCTGCTGCAGGTTATGCTCATTCTGCTGTTCTCACAAGTCAAGTAAGATATATAAAATAATGAACTATATTTTTAAAGCAATTGTTTTTGTTATTTACAAAGTTATAAATAATTCACAAGTTTTTCTTGTTTATTTATTTCATATTGTTTTTTCAGAGATATGTATACACTTTTGGAGCAGGTAAAAAAAAAATTATTTTAAAGACTTTTTGTTTAAATAACATGTTGTTTTTTTAATCAAGTTATGAGTTTCTTTTTATAAAATTTTTCAGATTTGTATGGTCAATTAGGTATTGGAAGCCATTACAAACAAGTCATACCTCAGTTAGTTGACTCATTAACTCTGGACTCAATATATTTAATATCATGTGGACCATTTGAAACCGTATGATTTTTTTAAGACTATATACATTAAGTTAAATGTTGGCCTAAATAATGCTGCTTTTAAAAAAGACAGGTTCAAATAAAGTTATAAAATTTGTTTTAGATTGCCATCTCAGAGGATCAAACTATATTTTGTTGGGGAAGAAACTACCATCAGTTTTATATTTGTGCAGTAATACTATTTTTAATTTTAAAAAAATATATAAAACAGCTTTTAAAAAAACACAAGAGCATTTTAAAGGGTGTACTGCAATAAACATTAAACTACTTGTTTATTTTTATATCTAACAATCATTTTTAGTTTGATGCATCAAAGTTGTTATACTTTGTCGTTATACTTTCTCTAAATTTTTTGTTCCTTATTGTAATTTCTTTTTTTTAACATAAATCTTACAAATCACATTTTGATCTTTACTCCATAATCTAAAAATTCTTGTTCAATTGTAATCTATGAAATATACTGTTTAAAAAATAGCTTGCAGTTTACTTTGAAATAAGATTCATTATCTATTAATAAACATTATTTAAAAAAAAAGGCTTAACACCTTTCATGTATAAATTGTAAGAAAATTTTATTTGTTTTTCAGATTATTTTGAAACACCCTTTACATTTACATCATCTTTATATTAAAGTTTTTTTAATTAGCTTGTTATATTTCTATATAAAATCTTTTTAGAAAAATAAAACTTTCAATTATTATATAATTTTTTTTTTGCAGAAGGCAGAGAGCTCAAAGTATGGGCGAAAAATGGCAAGCAATACTAAAGATTTGAATCATCGCTTTTATCCTGAAACACTCCAGTTTCAACTTCAACATCCAATAACTCAAGTAAATAGTTTTAATCAAAATCATTATATTTTAATTGTTGTCACCTTTAAACATAAAATGATTTAATTCTTTGAATAAAAGATTTTCTGTGGCAATTGGCACTATATTATACTAACATCAGTAAATCAAGTATATACTTGGGGCTATAATGATTGTGGACAACTTGGGCATTACAACAAAATAGATCAGGTAATGATTTTTAATGATTTGAATTTTTGTCAAAATGTTGTATAAAAATAAAGATAAACATTTTATATTACAGTCTGCACCAAGATTAGTGAAAGCCCTAATTCGAAGAGCTATTATTGGTGTAGCAGTGGGTGCTGAGTTTTCAGTGGCATTTGATGCAGATGACAACATTATGGCATGGGGTCGTAATGATGAAGGAAAAGTAAAAAATTTATAAAATGAATAAAATATATTTTTCATCTATTTTATTATCGTTATTGCAGTTTTTTTACCATTTTTGACTGTTTAAAACTTTAAATGAATACAACTTGACTGACTGACTGTATAAAGCTTTATATGAATACAACTTGGCTGACTTGACTGTATAAAACTTTATATGAATACAACTTGTCTTGGCACTTCAGGATCTCTTTAAATTACTTAAATTGTTATAATTTTTCTAAGCAATGTTTTTCTTGCAAATCAAAAGCTCACTGTATTTATTATTAGGACTTTAAAAAAAAAATTATCATTTCTACTTATTATTTCTAATTCATTTCATTCAAAAAAATTAAGTTCATTTGTAAAAACTCATTTAACAGTTGATGAATTTTTGAACTAATGTTGGGAGCAAATTTGTTATCTCATATTGAGTTTTACAACTGATCAAAAACATTTGATAACTTTTATCATTCTGTATTTTTGCTTATTCAATAAAACATTCATGCTTTTTTTATATTGTAAGTAAAGATTGTTACGGTCTCCAAAACTTTGCTTATTCCAATAATCAAAAACATTTAGTTGCTACCTCAATAAATTTAACTTTCTGTTTTTGAAGCTATTTAAAGTGCTATGTATATATATATATATATATATATATATATATATATATATATATATATATATATATATATTTGAGGTTGGCAAAAATTATTAGATACAAAAGTCTGATCATAAAACATAGAAATGAGGTTGGCAATTTTTTGCCAACCTCAAACACTTTCAGGTCGACAGTTAGGTTGGCATTGCCGAATGGCGACCCTAATTCTGAGGGTTATATATATATAACCCTATATCAACTTAATTTCTCCGCGCAGCGGAGCTTGTCAAGGTTCGTGTTTCGGAGTTGAAGAGTTGAGAGAGGGTTGTACCACGATTTACAACAAAAAAGAAAAAAAAAAAGTAGCCTCCTCGACTGTAGTGGCCCCCTCGGGTCTTGGGAAGGTGAATAATTTAATATATATATATATATATATATATATATATATATATATATATATATATATATATGTATATGTATTTGCTTATATATGTATATATTACAGGCCTTGTTATGAGATTTTGTTGTGTAACGGAAAAGCGCAATTCGAATTAATGTAACTTTAATCAATAAAGATATTTACATCGTTAAAAGTTTAATCACATTAGTTGCCTATTTTAAAATAACTCATTGTAATTAAATATAGAACCACATTAAAAATTGTTGTAAGTCTTAATATATCTTTAAATTAAAATAATATATCTTTAAATTAAACAATATTGTTATAAAAAAAATTATAAATAAAATTTAAATGTCGATTAAAAAAAAATTTCCTTATTTTAAAATCTTATACTTATTTAAACTTATTTTTTTTTCTTTAAAACATTCGTTTTATGGTTATTTTTTTTAAATGAGGGGACACTTGTTAATGGTTGATTTTCTTAAAGGGATTTAAATGTCCTTACAACTACACAACTAAATTGGGTTTTCTCCTTTATAAAAAAATGTTTGTGCTACCAAAGCTTTTTAGTAACTGGCTTTTGATAAAATAAAAATTTTAATTAAACGAAGACTAACACTTTTTGGCTATGTTTTTTTTTTTTATTTATTTCCATTGAAATATTTTAAGTTTATGTACTGTGAAACTTAATGTATTTTTACTATTTCTTACTAAATCTAAAAAGAAAAATGTATTATAACATAAGTTTTAGTAACTTTCATTAAATTTTCAGGATTTTTTGTTTCGAGAAAATACACACATATATATATATATATATTAGGGTGTCCCAAAATGACATGAATTTTTTTAGTTTTTAACTATTTCTAGATTTTCAAACAGTTTCATATGTATTTTTATTTACTAAAAGCAAAAAAAAAAAAAAAAATCAAAAAATTTTCATATTTGACCCCCCCGCCGCTCTTTTTTTTGTGTTTTTTTTCTAAAAAAATGACACAAAGGACTAAAATTATTTTTGATAATCAACTATGTTCGTATTTTATATAATTTTCTTGTGTAATTTTGTTTGATAAAACATAATCAATAGTTATTTTCAAAAAAAAATTCATATTTGACCCCTCCCCCCTCATAACCCCTTTAATGTGTTTTTGCCCTAAAACAATCCTTAATATACTCCTTTTATATATCTATTATTTATATCCAATATAATTAACTGTTATTATAATTTCAAATAGTTTTGTAATAAATAAAAATGAAAATTTATTAAAAATAAATTTTCACCTGGTTTATGACCCTCCCCCCCCCCCCATCCTTTCTAATATTACCTTTGTCGTATGATTTTTTTCTGCCTAAATAAGGAATTTTATAAATTATAATTTTTAATTAAAACAAAAAATTTGATAAATACTCAATTATTAAACAAAGAAGGATAGAAATGATTGGTATAAGTTAACAATATTAAAGCACAATGGGAATAAGTACTAAGAAGTTCAAAATCTCATTTTTTTTAAATTATAACAACAAAATAACAATATTTTAAAGGTATAATAAAAAAGAGATTTTTTAAAGCATATTTTCAAAAATTAAGTTTTTGAATTGCTTGTTTATTTATGTGAGGAAGAACTTTTCGGTGGTGTTCTACTGCACGTAAAAGAAATTCTTTCTGCTCATCATCTTTTGTAATAGATGTTGCATAGTCTTGAATTAGTTTTACAGCTCGTTCTGCTGTATCGTTTACAGATTTCAGTGATTTGATATGCTCAAACATGTGATTAAAATTTGTGTTAGTTTTCCAAAACTTTGGGGATTCTACCAACCAACCGCCATCCTCATTTGAATATCCGAATAAATTTAGAATGTTACTTGATTTTGGTCCAATTAAATCAGTCAAACAAGTACTCTGCTTCAGAAGAGGAAATTGTGGAAAGCCTATATCATGTTCACAGTTTTCTTTTATATTTTTCAGAATTATTTTAGCCATTTTAGTTTTATCTCGATCAGATACCTTATCAGAAAATAATGAAAGAGGGGACATTTCTTCAGTTAAATACCAAAGATGCCGATTAAATGTTTCCAGGGCAGCAACAGCAACATCATTGTCAATTTTTTTATAAATAAGCATTTCTTTGTAGAATTCCAGGTCATTAAATGGAGCATCGACTGTGCTTGTGCACGTAAGCCATATTTTCACATAAAATAGTAAAGTAAATTTACAAAACCTTGACAATTTCTCTATAAAACTTTCTTCATACTCTGCCAGGTCAGCAAAAGCAAACATCTTTGATGTGTACAAGATTGTACACATCCATCTAGCATGATGGAAGGCTCCAGGTTTGTGCCACTGTATATTTATTTGTTTTGGATTGAGTAATTGCAAAGCAAGTTGACAACATTCTCGATAATCATCTCTTAATATTTTTCGAGATTTCCGGTTAAGTAAACCAGACAAAAAAATTATTACTTCTGCTTTTTTGGTCTTTAATACTGGTTCTTCGATCTTTATTTTTCTAAAAGTAGTATCTGAAGTTAATGAAAGCTTAGGCCATACCTCATTTTTAAAGTGTCTAAATGGCTCATAATTTGGAGATCTGCATTCTCCAAAAACTTTGAAGTAAACAGATGACAAAACTCTTTCAAAAATATGGTGTCGGCAGGCGCACCAAAGTAACTTTTTGTTAAAGTGTTCTTCAATTAACTTTGCAGAACCATTTATCCAACCTGAATTTGATGGAGTTGTGTCAAAAATCATTGCCACAAGTGTTTTTTCCAGTTTCCATGTCTTTACAGCATCTATGGTAGCTGTTGCCTGACTTCGCCCAGTTGTATCAGGAATCCTGGATACACACAACAATTTCCCTTCAGGTGCACTTGGTTTTCCTGTTACAACAATAGCCAAACGTTCCACTTTACCATCGACCTCAGATACCAGCTTTGAATCCCAGTGAATGGAAGAGTACATGGGTGAAATGAATGTTTTCTTAAGATCATTTGAAACTTGCTGTCGAATTTTATTACCTGATCTGTACGCTGTGCTTTTTGAGATAGATATTTCATCTAAATTGTGACCTAATGCTTCAGCTACA